CTGCCCCACCCATCACCGTGTAAATTTACTATTTAATTGCGCATCAGAAACAAAGTGACTGCCTCCGCCGCAACCCAGCCATCACCTGCTTTGTACCACTTGTAGCCTGCTGGGCATGGACAAATGTGACAAATTCTCTTCTGTATAGCTGCAGCCTGACGTTGCTCTTCTTCCAATTGTTCCTGCGCGCGAGCTTGTTTTAAACCTTCCAAATGAGTTACATAGGCCTTTTTGGCACGTTCCAATTCTTCCCATACTTGATCAGAGACGCCAGGGTCGCGACCATCGCTGCAGCCATCCTCTACTTCAACACCTTTCGGTGCATCCATTTTATCAACCTCATCAAAAAAGACTGTTTCTTGCTCCGTCAGTAACGAAAGCATGTCTTCTGGCTCCTGCAAGTCAAACAGCTTTGACAATGTCTGCGGAGCTTGTTGGTCTCTAATTTGAACCATCGATTTGCCAGTAGGTACGATTGATTGCGAAAGGATCGGTCCGTCTGGTGAACGACGGGCAGCGACCATTCGTTCTCCAGCCATCGATGCGTCCTTCGCTGTTATTGTACGCACGCTTTCCGGCGAATCGAATACACGTTGCGCACGACACTGGTGCAACTCCTTCCAAAGACGAACTGCGTCACGGCCATTTCCAAAACCCTCCAGTCTTATAAGTTCCAGAAAAGTTTGACTAATAATACTGTCAGCTCCGTGTTCCAGTTTAAAATCCTCCTTGTCAGCTCTTGCGTGAAGGAAAGCCACGCCGTCTTCTGCTTCCCAATCTGGAAAATCAATAAAGCGCGTAAAGCGACTTTTGAGACCGGCATTGCGATTCAGCATCACGTCCATATCTTTCGGGTAGCCCGCAATCACGATTACCATACCGGCATACATCGGATCTGTCATTCCTGCCACCAACGTCGTCATTGCTTCCTCACCGTACATGCCTTTTCCTAGCTCATATGCTTCATCAATAAATAATAAACCACCTTTGGCTTCAACGAGCTTTTCCGTTACTTTAGTTTTTGTTTGTCCAACATATTCTCCAGTCAGATCTAAGCCTGAAGTCTCAACAAGTTTTGTGCTTGCTAATGCACCCATCGCATGCAGAATCTGTGCCATCACGCGTGCAACTGACGTCTTGCCAGTACCAGGAGAGCCTCGAAAAACAAAATGCCCGATTTCAGGACGTTCGGAGTTTTCTCGGGCTGCGACCACCATTTCTCTTTGCAAGCGAGACAATTGGTCCCTAATTTCATTCATGCGATATAGTTCATCGAGCAGCTCCAGCGGATTGTCATCCAATGCTACTCCTCTTCCGGGAGAACCGCCACCACGACGTGCAGCCAAAGTAGCTTCGCCTGCCTGATCAGCATCGCAGACTGTAATCGTTCGCTCAAATTCAGGTGAGTCCACTACTCGCTGAGACCGACTTTGTAGTAGCGTCTCCCACACTCGCATCGCATCGCGCCCATTGCCAAAGTTGCTGAGCTTTTTCAGCTCCACAAACGTATTTTGTAATGATAAGATAGCCGATTCTTCAACCATAAGATTCTCGCTTTCTGCCTTTTCACTTAAGAACGACACCGCATCTCGCGCCTCCCAATCTGGGAAGTCGATAAATCGTGTAAAGCGACTTTTTAAACCAACGTTGCGATCAAGCATTTGGTCCATATCTTTTGAATAGCCGGCTATGATAAAAACCATGCCTGAATAAATGGGATCTGTCATTGCTGCAATAAGAGTCGTCATAGCTTCTTCTCCGTAAGTTCCCTTGCCCAACTCGTACGCTTCATCAATGAAAAGCAGGCCTCCCTTAGGTTCACCAAGTTTCGTCTTTACCTTTTCTTTCGTCCGGCCGACGTATTGGCCATTAAGATCTAATCCTGAGGTTTCAACGAGTTTTGATGATGCCAACATTCCCATGCCATGCAGAATTTTCGCCATGACGCGAGCAACCGTTGTTTTACCCGTACCAGGCGAGCCGCGAAACACAAAATTACCCACTTCAGGAAGTCTTGAACCCTCGCGGTTGGCAACAATTATTTGATTTCGTAGCTGCGTCAGTTGCTCCTTTACCCTATCCATCCGGTATAATCGATTTAGTAGCTCAAGAGGGTCGTTTGACTTCTCCATTGCTTCCTCTTCAAAATCCACACTTACGTCTTCGAGGGATAGGAGGGTCATTCCACTTACCATTGGACGACTCATAGCTTTAGCGAGCGCGTGTTTGAGCAATTGTTCCACAGCACCAGCATTGCCAAAGTGTGGCTGGGTCTTTTGAAGTGCTAACTGTTTCAGCAGAGCCTCGGCGACGTCACAGGGGCACGTCACACTTCGTTTTGCACAATTCCACTCGATAATATCCAGTAATTCGTGCTCGGTGTAGTCTTCGAAGCGAAAAGCATACTGTGGTGGAAAACGACGGCTCAAGCCCGGATTTTGCGTGCGCAACATTTCAAGCATTTCATGTTCGTATCCGATGAGAAGCACGGCAATATCATTACTGTCCGAATCTTGCACCTTTTCAACTAGAACATCTAGCACTTGCTTTCCATACATATTATCGTTGAGATTGTACGCTTCGTCAATCACGAGCACTTTTCCCTTCGCCATGTCCAAGATTTGAATTGTTTTGCGTTGCGACTCACCTACATGGCTTCCGACGAAGTCACCCGCAGTTTTTTCACAATCTCCCCATTGCTCAAAAAGTTAAGCGCCTTCAAAATACGACCGTAATATCCAGCACAAGTTGTTTTTCCCGTTCCTGGGTTGCCTAAGAAAAGTCGGTTGAGAAAGACCTGTACAATTTCCTGACCCTTTAATTCGCGTTCGAAATTTTCATCACTGATACGAACCAATCTCTTCATTTCTTTCTTGACTTTTCCCCATCCTGTCTTCGTGTCAAGTTCTTTCATCACCAATTGTAGCTTTGGATTCGCCGAAGGACGGTCTCCCAGTATGTCCACGGTTTGAAACTTAAGATTTCCGCCGAAGTCGTCTCGTGCCAAGGCTTCTTTGACAGCTCGCTCGAATAAGTTTCGCACAGCCCGCGCATTACCAAACCCTTTTTGTCCGGCAGATCTAGCAAGACGCCGACAAGCGACTTTCACCGTGGCCTTCTCGTACTTCCATTCGCAATCTTGCGCTTTATGATCCCACAATGCTTCTAGCTCCTGTGCATCATAATCATCAAACACGACTTCTTCAAAGCGTGATGACAACCCAGCATTATACGCGTATAGTTTGTTATAGATATCGTCTTGATAGCCTGCAAGAATGATAGAAATTTTGTCTCGATAGTCTTCGGCTGCGGTCAACAACTCAGCTACGATCGGCTTTCCCTTAGAATCCCCCAAAGGATCTAGCTCGTATGCTTCATCAATTAACAAAACACCATCCGTTGCTTTTTCCAGCATATTTCGAAATTCTACAGCACCTTTGTCTTTTAGCTCTTGAGCGTTGCACTCAATTAATTTATTAGACGTGCGAATTTTTGAGTCTCGTAAAATTTCGGCAAACAAGTGAGCAACTGTAGTTTTACCAGTACCAGGATTACCCACAAAGCAATAATTAAATGCCATAGCGTTCTTCTTGCGCTGTATTGCCGATAGCTGTTGGAGTACTAATGCATTTTTAAACAAGTTCACCGCTGCATGTTTCACTTTGCTTAGTCCAACTAGTTTCAACAACTTTTCCATCGCTTGAGACTGACAGCCGTGCTGACATCTGAGGCTTTCCCAGTTGTCCTCCAGTGAAGCTGAGCCAGAAATGGTAACACCCATTGCGACTGCTCTACTGCTCTTCGAATGTACGAGCTCTGTTTCTGCTTGCGTCAACCACAAGCTGCTGGCATCTGGGTAAAATATACTAAACTTTTCAAGCAACTTTTGTTGAATGTCTGAAGTCTGTGCTAAGCTTGAGCGAGCTGCCAAGCGTGCGAGAGCAATGATAACAAGCGGGTGAGCATACCCACAATCTTCGCCACATAATTGAGCAACATAACCTTCCAGTTTTAAGCGGGCTTCGCTGGTATCCTGCTTTCGAATCGCGAGCAATTCCAAAGCCAGAAATAAATTGCCATCTTCCTTGAGCTTTCCCTGTGACAGCAGGTTTTGCACATAATTTACACCACCAAACGGCGTCTTAAATGTCTTATGCGAACTATCACAAAATTCCAGTGGAACGAATGATAATTTTGAAGCAAGAGTTTTTTCCGTGCAATCAGGAATCGCCTCAGCAACTCCTGTAGAAAGACTTTTTCCGTCCCATGGATACCACACGTTGAGCTTATCAAACAAGGGGCTCACCGCCATCGCCAGTTCACGAAGCACGTCAATGTCAGCGTCTGATAAAGTGTAGGGTGTCTGAGCAAAAGGCTTTTTTTTACACTCAATTGTTACTCCACCCGGCTTGTTAAACGCAATCTTTTGCGATCGCAAGTTGATTTGACTGATTTCTGGTAAGTTCTTCAAGAAATTCTTCTTGTCTGCTTCCTCAAAATCAACTCGATAGAGAGGAAATATTGCATACGGATGCAAAACGATCCATGAACCACCATTCTTACCCGTCTTAGCATCACGATACATCGCATCATACCCATACGAGTTCTGACGGCTGATCCACGACCAAATGCTGCTCCCGTTTTTCCCTTTCTTTCTTGGAAAATCGGTTGGATTATAAAGATATTTAGCAGTGTAAAGCTGACCAAAAACGACAGTGACTTTATCGCCGTGAACAACACGCTTGATATTGTCCTGCGTTGCTTCATAGACCTCGATACCAAAAAATTGATCGTTTCCAAAATCCTGCAACTCAAATTTGTCGATATTTCGTTGTTGCAACTTCCGCTTTAGTACCACAAACACCAAAATTTCTTGCGGCGAAAAAAGTGATCTCGACCACATATCTTCAGACTCTATCAAGCTCCTGAATTTCTCGAGTAGTTTGACTTTTCGAATGAGATAGTCGCGTTTACTGGCTAAACTCATGGTGATATGCGCTCCTTCCTCAATGTCGGAAAACATTTTGGCATTTTCAGGAGACCAGGACATTAGCTCTTGATCACTTAGAATGCGGTGTGTCTCCTTAATTGCAGTATCCAAGCGATTATTCGAGCAACGAGGGCATTCAGACGGAAAGCCTTTGCTACACAGCTGCAACATAAACGAATGTCCTTGCGGGCAGAGCCATGCCGTCTTCGCTGCACACTCGATAATGCCCGCTGAGGTCGTGCACGGTGCTGTGACGTGACTTCCGCAAATCGCGAAGTTCCAGCAGAGCTTCTCAACAGACTCATGGCATTTCACCTTGTCTATCTCATCAGAACAATTCATTGCAACCTCATGACCGCAAGCAAGTTGCTTCAAAATTCTAACAGAGCATGGACTTGGCATGCCGTTGCAGTTTAAAAGTCTGAACGCATCGCAGCACTCCATTTCAATATAGTGTCCACACGATTTGTTCTGCGAAATCGTACGGGGGCTGAACATTTATTTGGGATGGATCGCAAAGCAGCCGGGCAAGGAGCAGGGATCAGTAGAGTATCTTCCAGAATGCTTTCATTGTGTAAAAGCTGAATTGACGGCGTCAGTGTTTGCCACGGATGCCAATCGCTCAATTCCTTTTTCATATGACATGGCAAATTGATTGTATGTCCACAGAGTGGCACAACCATCGCCAACAATTCATTGCAAATGGTCGTGACTTGGCGAGCTTCGCTGCACTTCATCTTCAGCTTGTGGCCACATGTACGATTATACGTCACCTCCTCGTCACACTGAAGCTTCAGTCCATAGTTGCGGTAGTTGCTTGCATCGTATTCTTGCACAATCGTAACGGGAGAAATACTATCAGGCTCTATTGAATCTTGTGCCAACTTCTTCCGCAAAGTCTCCTCCTCATGGCACGTCATCGTACACTCGTGGCCACACTCTGGGTTCAAAATAACTACTGATTCTTGGCAACGCGAAGGGCACTGCGCCAGCTCGAAAGCTCGCTCACATCTCACCATCTGGTGGTGACCACAACGTCGTTTAAACTTCGTAATCTGCTTACAAAAGTAGTCTTTTGGACCGTAAGATGTCCCTTCTAGAACAACATCAAATGTCGAGGACGATTCTCCTTTCCAATCTCGCAGCTCTTCGGCTGTAGGACATGACACCATCAGCTCATGTCCACATCGAGGCAGTGACATCTTGACTTTTTCTTGACATACATATCGATGCACACCGTTGGTATAATTCTGGCGATCGTGGCACGACTTAGTCACGACATGTTGGCAAGGTGGTGTATATTCTACCTTTTCTGAGCAAGGAGGCGCAAGACTCATCGTATATCGGTCAAACTCACTACATGTGCATGCTTGAATATGTTTACACTCAGGATAAATATACGGAGCAATTGCCTTTTTGTTACATACAGGCCAGGATGATAATTTATTTTCAATCCTTGCTTGTGCATAGCAAGTCATCTTTTGGCTGTGACCACAGGGTAAAGTCACATCCATGGAGTAATCGCATCGATACTTGCGCAAAGCCTTGTCGATAATAGCGACTCCGACGATTGCCGTCACTTCAGAGCACCTTATAGCCCGAGGATGACGAACGCATGGAGACTCGACCTTCACACTACACTTTTCATTATGCGTCGTCACAGGCCAATGACAGAGAAGGCCACACGGGTGAGAGCACGGAAGTGTAACGGAACAAACAACAGTACAAAATCCAAGCTTTAAGTCACACTCATCGTAAGCCATTGCCACGGATGATCGATGTGCAGGGCAGCAGATTGGAAGCGCCGCACCAATTTGGCACCCTTTATATGTTGTACAATCGTCGATTGTGTTATCAGACTCGGCTTTTTTTTCAAGAAGACCAAGCGTTTTCTGCCAGTGCATCGTCTCACCAAGTACTCAATATTACCCATAACATATAAGGCCAGACGTGCACGACTGAGTAAGACGATAATGCGGTTTTGAAGCTTGACAAAAGACGTGCGAGACTTGCCATCGATGACAAGCGATATAATCACGATATCGGCTTCGTCGCCTTGAAAACGATCTACAGTTGACAGAAAGCAAGAGGGAATGAGACGCGTATCTCGTCCTCTTGTTATCATTTTGGGATCATATATAGACACGAGCATCTTCTGCATCAGCTTTAACTGCCCTTTGTACGGGGTCAGAACTGCGATTGACGAGGCAGGAACGCCACAATGCACCAAATACTGGACGAGTTTGCACGTCATCTTGGCTTCCTGCTTATTTACTCGAGAAATACCGATATCAGATCGCTCCTGTCTTCCCGAATGGGTCCAAAAGAAAATATGCGGCGAGACACCAGGCACCTCCCGTCCAGCCCCTTCACATAAATCCAAAAGTGGCACCGTCCCGGATTTCCTTTTTACACCCCCTAACACCTTCGTTCCGCAAACGGGGTGGTCTTCAATCGACGTAATTTCGTCATAAAAATTGCGAGTTAAATCGCATATGCTCTTGCGCATACGGCGCTGAATTGAAAGAACAGAAGATGGCACTCGATATCCGTGGGGAGCTTTTATCAATCTCTCAAACAAGGAAACATTGATCTTGTTTATTCGCTCAAAGTCAATTCTGCCCATGACCGAGGGTTGTAGCTGAAAATGGTCTCCAATCATTTCTAGCTTACGCGTTGATGAGCTAAAACATGACACAAGTAGTGGCTCCATCACTTCGGAGGCTTCTTCGACCAATATTGCAAACGGATTTGTCGTACGAATGGCTTCGAGGCGAGACACACATCCCGTAATTGTGCCAGCAATGATAGCTTTTCCCTCGTATACCCGGGAAGAAGCGCGGAGTATTTCACGCTCCAGCTCGAATTTTAAGCGTTCAAACTCTTTAGAAAACTCAAGTTGCAATCGAGTACTTATATTACTCCACAAACCCAAAACTGAAAATAGGGCGTTCCAGCGTTCTTCTACAATCATATTCCAATGCCATAGATGTGGCTTCGTCACGAGCTGATTCGAACACACCCACGGCACCGCCTCTTCTACAGCCTTATCCACAAGATCAATCCCAACTACAGTATCATTTCCAATCTCATACACATCGCGCAAATGCTGCAAGTGTTCTGATTCCTCCACTTCGTCCTCATTGGCAAATTCGATAGCATCTTCAAATTCAGTTTCGTCGTTATCTGAGCTATTTGATTCGTCTATCTTTTCATCTTCCGCTACTTCATCAGCGCGCATCAATTTTGAAGGCTCGATGTGTCGATCATTTGGCGATGGCACCATAAGAGTTTTTGCCAGGTCAGCGTACTGCTCAGCAGGCTTCTCAGCGTAAAAAATAGCCTTCGGCGGCGCAGCAAACGTGATACCAAGAGCCACATGATCCCTGCAAAATTTTGAGCCTGCTAGTGGTTTCCCTTTGCAGGGACGACCCTTTCTAGTCCGGGCTTCACACTTTTCCGAGCTTGCCTGAGCCAATGCTATCGCATCCGCGTAATGACGACTACAATACTGCCCGGTTATAGCTGTCTCACCGCAAGCCTCTTGCTTACAGTACAAGTCTTCAGCGTGCATTTTACAGTACGAAGTTCCCGGTTCCGCAACTTCAGCACACATGCTATCCAGACGCCAACAAAGCGGATGACAGTCGCACGTATTGCGAGGTGGTTCACCGACGGCGAAATCTGCCACTTTGTCTTTGGCTAAGCATACGAAACAGGCGTGGTCATGACAGAACAATTGAGATTCATTAATCCGGGAACTTTCGCACATATCTGCTGAACACAAATGCTGTAGACAAAAAGAACGCTTGTGAACAACTCGACTCAAACAAAACTGTTCATCGTTTTTTGTAAACATGCACGAATGCTCACGACAATATAAACTTTTATCAGAGCTGACAATCGAACACGATTCGCCGTACGCACACGCGGGTAGGGGACAGAAACCTGAAAGCCACTGATACAGCACTTCCATTGGATCAATTGCGGAGTCGTAATGCTTAATGCCACCGTACAATCCTGCTATATCCACATTTGCTAACACCGGCTTGGACTTCAAAATGTAATTCAAAGAATCAAGAGAAGTGTCAAAATCGATTATGCAAGACGTACTGCTTTCATTTTCTTCATCAAGATTTTCGATCGCGTCTTCAACAGCTAGCACATTTTCTTTGTTGTCCTCCTTCAAATTTTCAGAAATTTTTAGAAGTGTTGCCACCGCAGACGATATAGCTGGTACAGCTCTTTGTATAATTATGCGCCTGTCTTGACACAGCGACTCTAAGCCGTCAGCGACAGCTTGATGAGCCTCATAGATTGGTGCAAAGCAATCTCGGAGCTGATGCCATTGGTCGCGAAGTCCTTGACATTCATCTAATCGTTGTTTAACATGGTGAACATCAGGATCAGAAAAGGCAAGGTTGTGTTCACGGTATGGCTCCAGCATTGGTTCGCTACTCCTTCCGCCTATACGTACAAGTTTTTTCAATTGTTTGTTACGATAGCCAAATGTAGTGTTATTTAAGGTAGGCTCTGATCGAAGCAGGTCCAGTAGAAATTCATCAATTGCATGATTTTTGTACGATAAAACTAAGATTGGAGGGTCTCCAATTTCGCAGTTCTTAGCTTTCCAAATGTCACGAATGATCAGCAGAGCCCGGACAACAACGACTCCCAGATACGACTTGCCAGTACCAGGAGGTCCTTGTGTACAATGTACTGGATTTATCAAAGCCTCTGCGAAGCTTTTCAATTGTCCAGGATCAAGTGTCGCCCCCTTGACAAGTACTTCCAGAGAGCTCTCCAAACGAGAGCGTTGTACAGCATCCCGTCGAATATCTACGATAGGATCAAGTAATGACAAATCGATTACTTTTCTGACCAAGTTATGCACTGCAACCTCACTCTCCGAATTTGACGCATCAATGTCATCGTCATTATCATCGCCGTTATTTGCTGTATCCAGGTCAGAGTTTTGTTCCAACTTTGTATGCCCACATAAGTTCAGTAAAGCACCATTTTGGAATGGTACTGGCATCTGACGTTGCTTCTCCAATGCTATCAGGACTGGAATGAACTCGGGGACGAAGGTCTGACAATCAATAATAGCCACTGCATCCCCGACAGCAGGATTGTGTGACATGATGGCATTTCCTGAATTTTCAAGATACTGAAGCATACGCAAAGTTAGGCAGCCTCGTTCACGGACTTTGTATTCATCGAAGCTGTTACCCTGGAAAATGACTTCAGCCCAGTAAATGTCATCCGTTGCTCTCAACGATGCCGCCCGATTTCCAAGTCGTACGATTCCGATGAGGTTTGAGCTAGACAAACGCTTCGTCGTTTTCCAATGAATTGTTGTCAATGGCGGGCGACGCGATGCTACTTGCTCGATAGACATGGTGCCATCGTATTTCACCTGAGCTATAAAACCATCATAAACATGGGTCGACGCGTGTTTTGACGGAGGACCGCTAAGTCGCCGCTGGTATTCTGATGCACACATGTTGCAAATCCCCTTTGCGTGCTGCTTATGCGCACACAAAAACGTAGCAGACCCACTGCACTGTGAATTTTTGCACTTGATAGATTCATGTTTGCCCGGAAATGGCCAAAGTGGCTGATCGCACATTTTGTCACCCGCTCTCACAGTACAATGCGGCAGTAACGCATTGTTGCCTTCCACAAACGTCATACCGATCCACAATTGTAAAATTGTCAAAAAATATTCATCAGTGCTTTCGAAAACTCGCCCATTGTTGGTACCTGAAGGCTGCAATTTAGGAAGTAAGATCGGCTGAAAATTCTTATAGTCTGCTAGCCAGGCCACCGTTGGGTGGCGCCAATCTGGTATAAGCACACGTTGCCGTGTCTGCGTTACCTCCCAGTTCCTTACCTTTATGGTCCAGGGTTTCTCTATCTCGCCAAGTAACGTCGCCAATCGATTGCGGACGGGACGGTGAGTCGTTAGCCGAATGCTTAAATTCGCGTCTGCATTGGCAATCATCTCATCCAGAGCATTTTTGACGTCGTCTTTTTTCAAATTCCAAGTAAATTTTAGCAATCTCGCTACAACTCGTTCGGCCAATTCAACGCCTTCAAGAGTTCCATCATTGCCATCTAGCGCTACCTCATGCAGTCCATACTGCGTGTGATGGCTAAGCAATACGCCTACCGCTATACTGATTGCAGACAATGGCGGTGGCGCCGTTGACGCCGAAAACGGCAGTCTTGATAATGCCGACAGCAATATCTTGAGTGCATCCAGAGGAAGGGTGTCAACACATTGCCAGCAACTGACCCAGGCCTTGTCCATTTGCTCGATGGTCATCGCCAATTTATGATTTGGACAGCTCTTCAGGACCGCACGAATAAACTGAAGGTTTGATGGGTTTGCTGGAAGCTGCGGTAGGCGGTAGCCTACAATTCCCTTACCCCCTGTTCCTTCGCTTCCAGAAACACGTCCTTGATATCTACCTCGACCTCTTCCTCTGTTACCACCACTACGCCTACCTCGTTCATCACAGCGAGGGTGATTGACATTGGACCCTCTGCCACCCCCAAGTCTTCCATCACGGCATTTTCCATCAGCCATTTTCAAAAGTTCCAGTCTTTCTGTGTTAACTTCAAGAAATGACAAGTGAGAAGAAATTTGGCTGCTGAGACGGAAAAATGTGCGACAGGGGAGCCGATGATGACGCTAGAGTTATTGTGCCAGCGAAAAAGAATGATAGCAATCTGGTTCCGTCATTATTTGCTTTAGGACCTTTAAAGAAGAATTCGATGATCCTAGTCATTCACTCATTCCGCATCAAATTAAAGTGAGACGGTAAACTGTCAGTAGCAACAAGATTGAACCATATGTAGAATGCAGAAAGTGAGCTTTCTGTGTCATTGACTTAAATAACATTCGAACGCCAATGTTCACACAATTACAAGACAGGACAGCACCTTATAAAACATGATCCGTCTGATTGTGGCTCGTCAAAGCGTCAATTAAATATCTGTCCGCCGCTCTTGGGTGTTGTATGAGTAATAAGGAGTCTGAGATTCCTCATTGTCCGCGTTTCGTAAGCCATCTTGTCCAATGGCGATAAACATGTTCACCCGACTTGCTGCAACTCCCTGACAGCGCAGAAATTCGCCAAACTGCGAAAGAATCTGCGGTGCATTGGCCACCGTCACGGCGATAGGCGTTCCTACTGCAGTGTTTAAGCTATTACTTCGTAAAAACGGATGCTGTAACAGACCGTTTTCTCCAACAATTGGTGGACGAAGGCGGTGATCTCGTTGCAAACAAGAACGAATCACGTCTTCCAAATGCTTATTTTGTAGCGATGGAAAATTAATTGGCACTGTCGGATCAATAATACATCGGAACTTCTCAATGATGTTGTGTATATCCCCAAATGGAGGCTTCGAGTGAACAATTTGGTAAAGTATGCACCCCAATGACCATATATCACTAGCACGACCAACCTAATCAATTTAAATATCAGTCAGCTTTGCTCTCTTTAACAAAATTGATAATAAAGCCATACCTTCATTTTCCCTTGAGTATAGCGCTGGCCATTAGGACCCGAGTTGCCTTGTATTGCCTCCGGAGACATAAAATTGACCGTGCCTATCTGACTATCACGTTCAATGTTTGTCGTGTCGTTTGAAATTGTCTTCGCAATTCCAAAGTCAATGAGCTTGAGCACGCCATTTACAAACAGAAAATTTGCCGGTTTCAAATCACCTGAAATACAACATGTCAGTATGGCACTTCTCGATAACAACAACTGATATTTCACCATGAATGATTCGCTTTTGGTGAATGGCGTTCACAGCTTCAAGCATTTGAGTCCAAATTACTCGCAACATATTCTCATCCATACCGCCCTTTAAATCTTTTAGTCGCTCGCTAAGGTCAATTTCGCCATGCTCCATAATCTGATTTTAGCACGCAAAACGTGTTAGCATTAAGTAATGCATATGTGACAATAAACAAGGAGCAATACCACATTAATCTGCCGCTGCTGAAGATTTTGTTCTGCCGCAATCAGCTTGATAATGTAAGGATTCCCTTGCAATCGTTTTAGAAGCTCTATCTCGTTTGTGAACTGGGCAATACTTTTGTCATCTAGTTTCTTCAGCTTTATTTTCTTCAAAGCATATATTTTGAGGTCTGGCCCTAACATTCGGTAGACTTTACTGCTTCCTCCGCTGCCAATTTGCTCAAGCTTGATATACTTTTGCCCATTAACCTACAAGTTCAAAAAATCATTACATAATTTTCAGTAATATGCACCTGATAGCAACGCACCACAACTTTGCTCGTAAGTGATTCCAGTGCATCTCGCGTTAAAACACTACTCATTGTCGCCACAGGAGGGGATGATGACGAAGAAAGAGAGTCGGGCGAGATTGATTCCGCATCGTCTGGCCCAACTACTGATGAATGCGATTGCTCGCGGTTTGGAGAGCGATAGTGATCAAAAGACACATTGCTTGTTAGTCTTCCTTGAGGCTCTATTCGTGCAGCACTTGCTTTTAATTCCCACGGAAATGGTCTATGCACTCTTGGAGAGCATTTTTCAGTTACAAACTCTTTGTTGTTGATCATGGGCGTACAAAGCGAAACCGGCGAAACCTCTCGAACCTTCGAAAACACATCAACTTCTGTATTTGATTTCTTACAAATCGTAGCGATTGCTTTGTCGATATTTGTCGCTGGACTCTTGAGCGTTGTACCCGATGCTACGGGCTTCGCTAACGTATCGATCGGAAATTTCACAAAATCGCCGCTGCTGGAAAGGCTTTGAGATTCTTCTTTTTTCAGAATCTTCTCCTTTGGATTCCACTTCAATATATGATTTATGTCACCCACATTAATCTTAAGCCTTTTATTTGATCCCGATATGACTCTTATAGCTTTATTCTCCTGCTTCTAGATAATCATAGTTAAAAAAATTAGAGTAAGCCGAATTGACAGCAAACTGTTACATACCAACCTCCACTGATGCGACATCTTCTTGCGGTTTAGTCGGAGTCGCTTGACTTCCTATCAAAGCATTATCATCGTCATCGTCATCGCTTTGGTTTTCGTTACCAGCGATCACTCGAAGCGGCGGGCCAGCTGCCAACATCACAAAAAATAGTTAATATAATGCTATTTGGCCAGCGCCAGCTCAATCCCTACCGAGCTGAAAGCGCAACGGCGGGTGCTGCGTCTTTCTGGTGGTCGAATGTGACTTCAATACTGACCGCGTTGGGAGCGAAGGCGTTGTAAGCAACGGCGACTTTTTCGCCTTCGACACTGTTGAAAAACCTACATCTTTTTGGGCGTAGCTACCTGGTGTCGCTTTCAAGGGTGTCATTGCTAGTCTAGATGAGTCGTTCTCCCCACCGCAATGCTCTCGACTAACAGGTGTCGAACCCGCTGAAACAGTTGATGGACGAACTGGCGTCGTTGTCACACGTGGCGAAGTGACTGCACTTACTATCTCGTTTTGCGCCTGTCTAAGCGTCTGCAATCTGGTCTTTAAAGCAAGTCTTTTCTGTTCCTGTTGTGAGCCAGAAAATGCCGCTACCCATCCTGCTCTGCCTGCAATCACCTTCTTCAGTAACTCCTCCTTCTCAATCGGCGTCAAAGCATCATTGTCTACCCCGCGCTCCAGAATGTCCTCTGCAATATCCTCATTACCCGCTGCGTATTCAAAAGCTGCCTCCTCCTCATACAACAGAGGTTGCTTTTCGCCCACCCGTCGGCTTTTCATATCGCAAAAGCTTTGCCTAATGCCTGTCTCACTACTGCAAGGACAAGTACATTAAGATCAGCTTTATTCATGCCAGATTCGCCACCAACGTACTCGCTCAGCTTAGCCAACATGATACACATCTCCGTATAACCAGCTGTCTGACGTGCCTTCTCTGAGTCGACACATGTCAGCGCGCGTCTCAGTAGTCGTAATTTGCTGTATCTGGTGGGGTTGCCAGTCAATGGGCAGCGCAAGAGCTCGAGCCACGCAGACACAGATCGTGGGGCATCCTTAAGCGCAATTACAAGTCGCATTCGCTCCTCTGATGGCTTTTCTAGCATAAAAAGGGAGCGCGCAGACTCGCCAAAGTGCAAAATCTGAGTCGGTTGGTCCTGTGCGCTTGCGTAGCGCACGGTGGGTACAGGAAGCTCATCTTGGAGTGACTTGACCGCAGACTCTGGTGGTTGATTTTCCTTATCATCGATTACCTCCATTTTTATTTTTCGACGCGTCGGAAGATATGTTTGAACGTCTCGAGGGCGCTTGCGGCTTCCGTCAACCTCCGTCGGCGGTACCCTTTCAACGTCGTGCGCCATTCTGACCTTCGACGACGCACAGAGTGATGGTCGTGCGCCACCGGTGTGCGGAATTTATAAAATTAAGCAATACTGGTTATTACTGAGACCAAGAATATTACCGGTAGCTGATCTTTTCAAAGTGTTCAAAAGTCATCTAGCTTCCTTAATTATATATTCGACTAATAAATCCGTTGCGCCATGTTCCTTCGGGTTGGTTTTGTCCCTAAGGTACTCTCGGTGTAATACAAATGACCAAGCAAATCCTGTCATTGCCAAATTGTTGATCTCAAAGTTTTTGCATTTGATTCTTCAACAGTGTCGGTTCGGAACAGTCGGTCATTCTTTACATTACCATAGACCATGTTTCAGACACAAGATGGTGCTGGAAGCAGCTACACATCAACCATTTATGGATTTATACGGGATCAGAAGTACGAAGAAGCGGTGCGAATTCTACAGATCGAGTTAGAGAACCACCCGCGCAGTCGTGCAGCTTTGTCGCTGCTTGGATACTGCTATTACCACATGCAGCTCTTTCATCAAGCTGTAGAAATGTATGAACAACTATGTGCCAGTCACCCCGAGGTGGATGAGTATCAACTCTATTTAGCTCAGTCACTATACAAGTCCGGGCAATACGATGCTGCCTCAAGACGAGCCAGTCAACTTGAAAATGAACAGCTTGCCCAACGTGTGCATTTGCTCAGAGCTGCCTCTTATTATGAGCAAAATGACATAAAGGCTACACGTTCCGTGTTGGAAGAGTGTCTACCTGATGATCCCACGACAATCGTATTTGAGGGTGCTATTGAGTATAAGGAAGGACGCTACGAGGCGACCCGTGCAAAGTTCTCGGATGCAATAAATATTTTGGGCTACCAGCCAGATTTGTCATATAACATTGCTCTCTGCTTTTTCAAGATGAAACAATACGGTAATGCTATGCGGCAGATCGCCGAGATCATCGAAAAGGGCGTGCGGGATCACCCTGAATTGAGTGTAGGCAGTAAAAGCGAGCAAAATACTGACGTCAAGTCTGTGCAGAACTCGACAGTTTTACGAGAGACAGCACTTGTTGAAGCATTCAATCTCAAGGCTGCGATTGAGTACGAGATGAAAAATTATAAAGGAGCTCGAGATGCACTACTGGACATGCCACCTCGTCAAGAAGAGGAACTGGATCCGGTTTCACTTCACAATTTTGGCCTGATGAATATGGACGTGGATCCAAACGGTGGCTTCAAAAAGCTTAATTTTCTACTGCAAAATCCACCATTTCCTGTCGAAACGTTCTCCAATCTGCTTATCTTATACACCAAGCATGGATTTCATGATCTAATGGCTGACGTGTTAGCAGAAAACGCCCATCTGACTTTTCAATTATTGTCAAAAGACTTTTACGACTTTATGGACGCCACCGTGACGCTACAAACTTCCCCTGAGGATGCCTATCTCAAATACGATGACCTCGCAACCAAGCATGTTGACAGACTGCGCAAACTGACTAAAAAAATTCAGGACGCGCGACTTGCCCAGTCAAACGATGATATCAAAACGTCTCTCAAAGCTTATGATGATGCGCTTGAAGAATTTATGCCCGTGCTTATGGCACAGGCGAACATATACTGGGAGCGCGGCAACTACACACAAGTAGAAAAGATTTTCCGTCAAACAGCCGAATTTTGCTCGGAACACGAAGCCTGGAAACTAAACGTAGCACACGTTTTTTTCCTTCAAGGAAATAAATATGAACAGGCCATTCAGTACTATGAACCCTTTGTGAAAAAACACCAAGATAACTTGCTTGATGTGCAGGCTATTATCCTTGCGAATCTTTGTGTGTGCTACGTGATGAATACGGATAATGAAAAAGCCGAGGAGTTGTTGCGCTCTATTGAGCGTGAGGAAGAAGAAGAATCGAATCGAGATCCCGAAAAGAGGCTTTTTCATCTGTGCATTGTAAATCTTGTTATCGGCACGTTATACTGCTCCAAGAACAATTACGACTTTGGAATTTGTCGAGTCATGAAGAGTATGGAGCCATATCACCGTAAGCTTGGGCCGGATACATGGTTTTATGCAAAGCGTTGCTTTCTTGGGTTAGCGCTCACGCTAGCAAAGCACATGACAACTATTCGAGACTCCACGATGGATGATATTCTCGAGTTTTTCGACTGCGCAGACCAACACGGTAAGGAAATTTTCACGACATCGGGAGCTGATCAGAGTAATTCCAGCACGGTGGTGTCAGATGTTATCCAACACACAATCAGCTATGAGGTGCGTGGCCAATGTCGTAAATATATACACTAGTATCATTTGCCTTACATTTCATGCTCTTAGGCTCGGCTTCTCAAGCGGACATTCCTCAAGCTGCGCTCTTAACGCGACATAATTCATGTCATTTGTCGTACGCACCAGATACTAAGTATACGTATGACTCGGACGTGATTATCAAGCAGGATGTACTGACTCCCCTACAAGTGATATTGCGGGATTTATTCGTCAACAAAACTAGCCTGCGTTATTCTTACAGCTTTATGTTATTGAAATTAGTTTCTTGGATGTGCATATGTGGAGACGTCTGACACGCTTGACTACTCTACCGTGAACTTACTCGTCCTGTGCATTTAAGCACAAGCATTTAAACTTTGATGGGAGGCAATTGGCACCTCTTTGCCCGCCAATGTGCGACAGGAGTCCCGAGAATCGATGGAGATTTGGCTCGAAGTCGCTGCGGTAATTCACGCAATAAAACTTCAAGTAAGCTTTGATAACCAGACTCAAAAGAATTAAATCACCTTCAAAGCACTGTTTCGAAGAAAGACCTGTTCAAGTGCTTGAAACCGCGTCTCGTCCTGATGCTGAAGTGCCAACGCAGTCAGCTTTGCTTTCTTTGCCATCCCTCGTCGGTGATACGACTGTTTAGGCGACGTCCAGTCATTAACTTTTAGATTCTTTCCTTCTGTCAAACGTTTCAGCTCTGCAAGGTCTTCCTGAATGGAGTGTGACTTGAAACTGGTCATTGAAGTGAGAATAAACTGTCGCCTCTCTATCGACAATTGCGTATTCACATCCAAAAAACCTGAACTCTGGTGCTACACTGACCAACAAATTTAAGCGCAATACCCATGAGCGTCAACTTTACCAAAGCCGTACCTCCATCTTTTCCGTAAGCTGTCGAAACATTACTTCCTGCTTCTGGGGCCTTGAATCCTTTTTGCGGCGAGTTTGTGGAGTGAGAAATTCTACAAACTCTTTGAAATCAATCTGTCCATTCGAGTCTTTGTCTAATTGGTTAACAATCTCCTCAATCTCTTGCTTGTCGTTCACGATGCCAATTGACAGCATTGGATCCTCCAATTCTTCGACAGATATTTTGCCTGATCCATCTGAATCCAGTGCATTAAACCACTGTCGAAGCATGCGCTTTTGTTGGCCTGAGAACTGGTAATGAGGTTGTTTAGCATGCTTGATAAGCCATAAGTTTCGATCACAGTGCAGCTGTTGCTCGTGCAGTGCGCGATGCTTGACAAGTGTAGATTTTGGCGGGAGTGCAAATGGATCTCGTACAGTTTGTCTCCACCATTCGTCCAAGTGCTTGAGTTCATCATGTTTGGCTTTCACCATTATTCTTGTATTCGTTGTATTCCATGATTCGTTATTCTTGTGAGCTTTATTTATATTGTCCGTTTGTGGTGAAAAGCTATACATGAAGCGCGATCTTGAATTGGACACAACCGCTTCCGGCGGCGACAGCGCAAATTCTGCCGCTGAGAAACGACCTCGAACAAATTCCTTGACGTCAACGCAACCGTCTGATGTCAAAATTGATCTTCAATGCCCCAGAGTAGCTTCAGTGCAGGATCATCAAATACACCCCATGGCCATACTTGAGGCCATCCGCCTGAAGCTACAGAACACTGTAGACCCTCATTTACAGGGTTGTCTTTTACTTGAATACAGCACAACTGCGGCTTCTCCGAGCGCTAATACAGCAGCGGCGATTGACTTTCTCTTTTCATTTTTACAACAGAATCAGACGCAGTCTACCACTCTCAGCGAGGAGAAATTGTCCAAAGACGCCAGTAGTAGCGGAGCTATAGTCGTGGGCGCCATTGTGCGTGGTCTTCGACAGCTTTTGGCTGTCAAAGCAACTGTCGTAGAGCCTATGATCCAGGTGAATGCGATGGGTGAGCAATTGATGCAATGTTTGAGTGTAGGGGAGGATTTTAAGCTCCGTCGCGACATGTTACGCATTGTCGTGGACTGCCTTATGTGTACTAAAAAGTATGATCAACTTAAGCAGCTCTTGCACAAGTGTGTGCACGATCACGATGCTGGCATGCAGGCAATTTGTCTCCGCACGTATCTAAGGTTATATAACAAAGGAGAGTCTTTTGCTCTCGAGACGATCTCGACAGATGACGTTGCAGTCAGTGAGTTCGATCTATTAACAGGCTTTATACTATTTGGACAAAGCCACGAGGTCCAAGTGTTGGCATCACAAGTGATTGTGGTCCTTACAGAACTGTTCCCACGCTGTGAAGCTACGAACAGTCAATATTTTCCATCTACAATAGCTGCAAAGGTGACGCTGCTTTTGCCCGAAAAGATTTTTTATGTCTTGTGCATGGCAGCCAATGATGCGTCAAAAGTGGTGCGAGCTGAAGTTGCGAGATGTCTACGGCGTATGTCTTGTGTGCAAAACAGTGAGGTCCTGGAGCACGCTTTTGTCAAGACACAGGTCGATGAGGCTGTTGTTGACGTTGCTACAGAGAGTAGTGAGATGAATACACGTCGGATGATGTCGAGTGGCGTTTTGCTATCGCTTTTGGAGGATGTTGACGAGGAGGTCGCCATTGAAGCCTCGCGTACTATTGCCAGATTGGGTGAAGTTACAGCACGTCGCACTAGTACAGCACGATGGAGTCAGCGAGTCGTGGAACGCACAATCACGGCGCATTTTGACGTGCTTTCGCGTACAAGTAGGTCAAGTACATCGCTACTGCGTCAAGTATTCGTGAACTCCTTAAGTCGCTTGTTAGTGTGTCGGCACGTGCTTGGATTGAGGACCGACATGACCATATCTAGCACCGAACTGAATTTTCTGCTGCAAAGTGACACAGATGTTAGTCTACCCGCAGCTATCGAGACCTTACGAGTGCTGCAATACTATGATCTATCAAGCACTTGGGTTGTCCAGCGATTGGTAGACTACGTTTCGAAAATAGGCACTTTGTTCAATAGTTTTGAAGCCAAGAATGATTACACTTTGTTGGATTGTTGGAAGCAAAGATATTTTAATGCGGTGCAAGATCTTGGTAAAAAGTGCGCTGATGTGCTAAAGGTCGATGACTCCTTGTTGGATCCAGTGAGACAAGAGACATCACAGCTTCATGGTCGAGATGATATCATGAAACAGTCGTGTCAAGCCTTACTTTGCCACAATGACTTTTCGAATGGGATCAATAAGAAAGACAGTAACTTACCTTCATCCGACGGAACTAGCCTATTTTTCCTACAGAGTCCATCAACTGGGTCGCAAACAGTGGATCAGGCTTCTCAGGTGACGAAATTTTTGGATGCTCTTCAAGACCCTCCCTCGGATGAAAATCTGAATGAGTCTTTGAATACAGTAAGCTGTATCTCTGGTTAACGTTTTGTATCATTGTATCCAAGCTGATCTATTGTGTGTTTAACTCTAGATTTGTCGCCTTCGTAATGTATTTGCTGCGGAGGAAACTTTTCATTTTGTCGACGTTCTTGTCCGACTTCGGAAGCACTTGCGTTCATTTCCCGAAGTATCAACCACACTACCGTCGGCACCATCAAAATATGTGCCCATATCGGCTATGCTTAGCACAAGTCCTAGCGTGAGCTCAGAACACACGAACATTGGTAGTGGAGAGGCAGAGGCGTTTGAGAGTTTGCGAATATGGAATGATTTGCGGAAGCAATGCCAAGAGTTGGTTTATGTTGCGTCCGGGGTGTATGTGAAAGCTTTTGCTTTAAGTTTGTCACCTCGGATTGAGTTACTTCAGGTATAGATACTCAGAATATTTACCTTCCAATGTGACTGATAGCCGTTTTACGATAAAATAGCTAGTAATGCTTGGATCTATTGGACTCGAGCTTGCATCTCTGCAAAATTCTACCGACAATCTAACTATCATTGCAAAGCTGCGGTGGATAACCAAGGAAGCGACGACTCGATTGCACTTTCTAGTCGAGGATGGCGAGCTTAAAGACAAAGCTTGGATCCCGATCGAAATGCTGTCTGGCGCGAGCACACTAAACGACCTGAAGCGCGCTTTTGTTGCGTTCGTTCGTAAGGCATGGCCCACAGCACTCATCAAATCTGCAATAACTCGCTGTACACCTCCAACTGTCGGAGCTCGTATCCATTTTCGCCGTCTGGCTACCGCCCATGCATCAATTATAGAACCAATCTCGAATGTGCATTTGAAGTTTGAGCCCCAAGAAATTACAGCGAACTGGGCGTTTGAGCAGCGTGTTAACTTTGTTTTGACAAATACGCGAGATCTTACACAAGTGTATGTCAGAAGCATGCTTCCCGATGGTGAAGTTGACTACCATCATGTACCATTAACTTGTATCTATTCTCGGGGGCCACGCAATCACTCGGTTGTTCACACAATTACGCTAACTGTATCACCTTTTTCGGATCCAACCGCATTTCAAATTACTGTGTGCCTAGGTCACTCAAAACTCCCAGGAATTGTCAAGGTACGATCGAGTATTTTTGTCTTGATTTTGTCTTAAAGCGATCAAGAAACTCAAACATAATTTTCTGCTGTGTGCAGCCAAGTATTTCTAGTTCTGTCAACGCTCATTCTCGAATGTTCACCGAAATTTCTGATCCTGTTTGCGTACCAATATCTCACCGCACAAGCACCACGCTGCGGCATGCAGCAACAAAATAGATTGGGGTATATTTAGTGGTGCAAAAGCTCGTAGAGCAGAATTGCTGACGCGACACTGACGTTCAAAGAATCCACGCAAGTGTTCGTGTCCGTTGCATGACCTGAGTCGACAAAGCTTATGATGACCTTGAAGAAGACAAGACTAGTACAGCAACAGCGTACCTGGGATAGTCACAATCGCATGGCAGCACTGACGAATACTTTTACGAAGACCGCGGTGCTCATTACCCTAACAAAGCAAAATTTAAGCTCAAGTCAAGTAAACATCATTTTTCATACTATACCATCACGAGAATCGTTGGCTGGGCATCGGTTGCAAAATCAATCGACGAGATGGAGTCGGGTCCACTACATGCACCTACAATACGCCACCCGAGGTCACCACTAATTGCCAGCATTTCATGTAAATTTCTCGTCTTCATGAGTTTTTCCTTAAATGTACGCACGAAATTATTAGCATCAGAAATATCAAGCAGATACTCAAAAACGTACGGTGGCAACTAAAATCTCCAGAGCCCCGACAGAAGCCCGTGAGACGGTAGGAGATACTGGAGCGGTGTTTCCATCAGTTACAACAACTGTCGAGCAGCCTAAGAAATGCGCAGAACGAAGAATTGCTCCAAAATTCTGGGGATCGTGAATTTCATCGAGCACTAATATCACTGGTGATCGAGTAGACTCAGTAAAGCCTGTGTGGTAGCTTAACTAAGTAATCAAAGCAGCATGATTGACCAAGATATAAATGATCATACCTGAAGGGGTTGCAGGGACAAAGTCTTTAAGAACGATTTGCGCCGCGTCCAATACCACTCCCTTATAAAGACAAACAACCAGTTCAGGTACCGATCATATGTATGGCAAGGTCTTTCTTACTTGATGTGGCTTGTCACCAGTAATGTGATTAAGCATCCATTTGCTTAAAGGATACCTTACTATACCATTGGCCTCTGTCAGCTCGTAAATGCGCTCGAGCGCCTTTAAGTCTGCGACGCTCTTCTTCTGACGCCGTTGGCCATGTGTCGGTGTATGCTCCTCCCGCACATACAACGCGTGAATAGTTCGATAGCCAGTTTCAAGGGCTTGTAATACACTATGAATGCCATAAACCCCCTCACCCACCAATTGCGGAATATCTTTGCCGTCATTTGTGCGCGTACATCGCTCTTTACTGCGCCAATGTTCTCTTTCACGACCCCTTAAATGTTTCCCACGCGTTGATATTACATTTTGGGATCCAGAGAAAGACCTCCATTGACTACCAGTGAACAAAGTTGAAGAGACGCACATCAACAACCTGGTCGACGGTCTCGACGATAATCTCATGACAACTAATCGGTCGATCATGGATAACATGCGATTGCTATTCTTAATTTCTTTAATACACATGTATCTAAATAAAGCTTTCATCATAAGACATTCTTTCATTTAAAAGCTTTGGAGATTCCCTTGTATCAAGTTACAGGCCTGCGTAGCAGAGCTTTGCAGGACATATCGTGATGAGTATACGTGTACACAATTTGAAACGGTTTGAGGAACTTCAGCAAAATGCAATAAGCATCTCATCTCAATTACCGAAGTACGTGAAGATACCGTGTCATAACGAGTTTAATACTTCTAAATGTGCCATTTGATCTCTACATACATGTAGATCACGTTCGCCATCACCATCTACAAAAGTCAGCAATAAATCGACAATTTTAGCTCTGACCAAGGAGACACAGAAGGTTGGAAGACTTTTTCGTAATCTACAAGAATTGGTTATCTCAGATTATAGTTTGTTATCGTAGAGAAGAATGACAAAAAAACATGAACTTTACATGAAGGAGCGAGAAGAAATGGAGAAGAAACTTGCTGAGACCATTGCTGAAAATATTCAGCGACAAAAGAGCAAGAAGGAGGGACAGTATTTGAAGCTGCAACAGGAAGTAGAGGAAGGCAATGATCTTATACAAGAACTTCATGAGACTTTAGAGCTACAGCAGCTGTCTAAAAATGGACAGCTTTCACGGATGCACGAAGAGTGGACTACCGGAGTTTTTCACAAGCTTAATGACCCAATTCTTGCAAAAGTGCAGTCCATGGACGGCAAGCTGCGCAGCGCTAAGAGGGCTGATGCGTACCAAAAGTTCTTGGACGTGACTCGCAAAAAGGGAGGACTTTTTCGTGACATTATCATCGAAAGCGAGTACAACCCCATGAGTGACATCAAGTTTATTAAACACCGAGAGAATGTGGATGATCCAACGAAACGGGGGATACGGCGGCGAGAGGAAGAGGATGCTATTGCTCGAGCTGGTACTACCATGTCGGATGAAAGTGGTGATGATATGCTTGGTTTAAAGGAGCAATACACTTGCCGTCGCGATAGTCTCGATGTCAAGCTTTGGGCAAAAGGTGCGTATGAAAGCACACCTTACGGTTATTTTCACAAGATGATGAATAGTACGGCAAGTTCCGAAGGGTCAAAGACGTATGCATCGCATGTGAAGTTTGATCACTACAACATTGAAACTGGTCCAGAGGTTGTTCGTCGGGAACTTCCGAAAGGAAAGCGTACTAATTTCGATGGATATAAAGTTCCAAAAACGACATTTCAGATAGACTGAGCCCAAATGTGGTATGCACTTTGTTTTGATAGCCAAAGCTTTGACATGGTAAATGCTATAGTGCTTTGCAATTTAACACGGGCTAAACAATTTGACTAGTCAGTGATCATAAATTGTGAGCTCTTAAATAATTTATAGTTAATAAATATGAATTGAGGCAATTCTTTGGACTGTACATCGGCTCTTTTCTCGTCATGCCGCTTCCCGCCCCATGGCTGTCGTACAAGACTAAGGATGGCAAGGTAAAGTGGTCGTTTATAGTTTCATTTCCTAAGCATATTGCAACGGTTGTTTATCAAGTGTTTGATAATCCTGTAGGATTATTACTATAATCCCGAGTCTAAAGTCACGACATGGACTAAGCCGTCCAGCTCTTCATCTTCCAATAAGACGCCACCTAGGCACAAATCCAGCTCTGGAAACAATACATCATCAAGTCCAGCGCTACCCAGTGGAGGTGCAGGAAGAGGTGGTCTTTTGGCTCAGATTCAGCAAGGTGCTAAGCTTAAGAAGGTCAAGACAGTGGAAAAGACGCTATTTGCAAGTAGTGGCAGTGCTGGAAATGGAGCTGGGGGAACAGCACCAACTTCAAGTCCGTTTGCAGGTGCAGGAGGCGGCATGGGCTCAATGATGGCTGCTATTAAGCAAGGTGGCAACCTGAGAAAGTCTAACCCCTCAGGCTTCCAGAGAGAAAATAGTAGCGGTGGTGCGAACAGTGCACCAAGTGGCGGTGGAGGCTTTGCTGAAATTATGCGAAAGAACCGTGAAGCAGCTGCAAGGAAATCTGGAGGTGGATCGGCTCCATCTGTGCATAACAGCAATTCCGAACCGTCAACACCACGCCAGATGTCGAATGCGAGCTTCGAGAATGGAAATAACACTGCAGTTGAGACGCGACTTGCAGCGATTGAAAATAAACTTGACAAAATCATGGCACACCTTGGTATTAATTAGCTGAACAAGGTATGGCAAGTCCAGGGAAGAGATTTTTCGCTGCCGTTGCCACTTCGACCCTGCTGAACGTAGTAAATCACTATGAGTGTGTACGTTACTGTCGAGAAAAATGAATGATGCATTTGTGCATGCTAACAATGTACCAAAGTTGAAAGAATTGGCGTTTTGTAAATCTCCGAATTCTATGGTCATGTTAGTTTAAACTTAACCAAATTGCATGGCCATCTCTTGAAGCGTCATACTTTTCTTCTTCTGCTTTCTTTTCCCATTCTCTCGATTTCCGTTCGTAGTTTTTGACACACGGCTTTGGGCAATCGCCTGGACCTGATCATCCCAAGTCGCACGCGTTACAGGCTGAACGCCGACAGGTTTGCTGGCTCGAGGTAAGTCAGGAAAGTCGTTCTTATTAGTTTTAAAACTTGTTGCGGCGGGTGGCGGCATCATGTGACGCAGCACAGGCGTCGGTGTGGATGCATATGCTGACGCCGCGGCACCGTATCCAGTCGCCGGCGATGACGTAGCTACATTGAGACTAGCAAACGATTCAGTAGGGGCAGTTTGAAGCTTAGTACTCGAGGGAGTAGCAGGATACGCTGATGCACTAGCTGTAGCAGTCGGTGGTGTCTGCCAGCTTCCAGACGACGTCCACTGAGTTGTAGGCTGTGTATATCGTCCTGTCATGTTACGCAAATTCGTGTTGTGCACAATCGCAGAGGGCTTGCGATTTGAAGCCATCTTGATGCCGCTTTCTTTCATAGCATTGCCCCATCCAGACGGCGACGGCTTTGGCGGCTGACGCTGGTTCTTGTGCTGTGATGTGATCGCACTCTCCGCTTGCTGAGACTTTGCAGGCTTTTTGTTGTGCTTTGATTGAGACCCTTGGAATTTTTGAGTCTTGCTTTGATTCTTGTTTACATGTTTGTGGTATGCAAAAAATGCTTCGATTTGTTGTTTGTCAGGAGATAGCCGCATGAGCGGTAAAAAGAGCTGTGAAAAGTCTGCAGGCGAAAACATGTCGCGCATTTTGACGTAAAAGTCCGGGACTTCGATCTCACCTGCACGAAAGCGCTTGCAATCTTCGCGAAAAACTTCGTACTTTGCATCACTGCCTAAGACCTGTCGAATTTGAAGCACAACGGCTGTTTTTGACGGCATCGGACCGACAAACTCGTCTTTCTCTTCCTCTGATTCGTTATCCGGTACCGTATGTTCAGTACAGGCAAGTTTTGCTTCGAGACCACCACCCGACTTGCGACCCTTTTTCCTTCCTTTATTATGTTTGCGTGCAGGTTTTAGTGCTTTTAATAGCGGATTGTTCGCGCCTAAGACGGCAGCAGCTGACGCTAGCTCTGAATTCTCATATTCCCAACCATTGCTGTCCATGTGCGCGCGTAGAGCAGCTGACGGCGGCGGCGCCAAAGCATTTCGAAACGCTAAACCAGACTGGTTGGAAGACGAGCTGGATACAAGCGCTGGAAAATCTTCTGCTGTACGACGGTGTGACACAGTCTGATTCTCCCACAGTGAGAATGACGGCCCTCCTGCCGTACTGTCGGATCCCGAAAGCGACGGAAAGTCAGCAACATTAATTGTGTGATTTCCACGAGACTGCTGATCAAACAACCGTGGATCTTCAAAGTCAGCGTCGTCTCCCTGTGAAGCCCGTCGAATCGTAAAATGCACGTCAATTTTCCGACTAGTCTTGATGTGCGGATGATCAACAGTCATATGTGCCTGAAGATCCAGATGCGATTTGAAAACAACAAATTTTTTAGCCAAACACTCACTCTCTTCACACAAGTAGTGATCAGCTCGAAAATGATTTTCCAAGTCATTATAATCCTTGTAATATCGATTCTGCACATTTAGCTGGTAGAGACAAATATCGCACTCAAAATGATTTTTCCTAAGATGATCGTACAATTCTGTTGTCGAATAAAATCGTGAAAAACAGAAATCACATCTTGGATGACCCATAAATCCTTCGAGAAGACTTCCGTTCGTATTGTGTACTTTCAATTGCTCTCGTGTAAATAGCACGAATTCTTCTAGAAACGCCTTTTTGTTGGTTAAACAGATGCTACAATACTGCAAGCTGTGTACATTTAGCACGTGCGTACGCAAAGCGTCCACCGTCGCGAATTTTTTGCCACAAATCTTGCACAACGGGTCTCGAAGCTTACGAATATGCGTTGTATAGTCTTTCTGATAGAAAAACATACCCGAGGGTTCGTCATATACGTAATTAGGTCCGATATTATCTCCCCAATTTTGAAACGACTCAAAACTCTCGTCCTCGTGCGATACACAAATGATGCGCGGCATGTCCGTCTTACACATGACACACGCAGTTTGTCCTAATAGCTGACGAAGACGCAACGCACAGATACTACAGCAGCCAGAATGATTGCATACACCTATGGTATTAAAGCGAGACACATTGTCAATAGTGTTACAGCACAGCACGCATGTTGAGGTCATTGTTAAAGCTTGTAATGTAAAATGAGTGACATATCGCAAAAGTGAATAATAAATGTAGTGGGTGACCTACATAAGTACTACATTAAAAAAAACGTTTGAGATGCCACGCATTTTGTGTAATTCGCCTGCTTGGCTGCACTGCCTACACTTTCAACGTGCGTATTACAATGTGACGCTGACCTTTGCGAAGCCAACATTTGAAGCATCTTGTGTAGCCGTTTCTAGTATCATTAGTTATTTTTTGTGTTCCAAATAAGGAAAACTCGGCTCTTGAAGGAATTGAGTCTTCTATCATGGAACATCATGAGACGTTATTGTTCATTACAGTGCTTGTGCCTTAAGTCGGTAATGCAAGTTTAAACATTCATTCAGTGTTCTTTTAATTGGATGCAATCGCGAAGCTGTTGCGCTGCGAAACACTGTCAATATAATGCGTTTGGTGATATGCAGCATGCCCACTCTAATTCAATAATGATTTGACAACACCAACGATGTATTTCCCTATTTATCTGATGCTACTACAAGTGAGTATCCATCAGAATCGAAGTAGATACCGAACTGGATCGGTATTGAGAGACCAGCTCGTCTCAGACTAGAGAGAAGAATTACAAGTGAGAAGCCGCGCTAGCATTTAAAGGAAGCAGAATGCTAGAATTCAGACAAAATGATGTTGTCGGCCGGATACGCTATATACCATTTAAGTCTCAGAAACATAGGTGATTCAGGTGCAGAGCAGAAAAGTGATTGCAGTTGTGATTTGCTCGTTTCTTATAGCAAGACAGTACAGACCATAGCTGACATATCGCATTTGTTCTGATTACGAGCCGAATGGTCTCTCATCCTGCCAAAGGATGTGCTAGCTGATAACCAGTAGCAGAACTTTGAAGGCGTCACGAAAAGGGAAATTCAGACGCACCAAGAAGGTAAAAAACTTAAGAAACGGTCGCGACGAACGCTTGGTTTCCTTGAAGACGTCAGAGGAACGACCGAATGCCCCGGGTCGATTCTGTTCGAGCTGGAGCTTGAAAATGGATAAACTTGACAAAGTAAGTGCAAATTAACTCAATCTTTAATTGAGTCCTTAGAGGTGTTGCCAGCGACATACCCCAAAGTGAAGAGACCAAATTACGGACTGAAAAATGAGACGATGACACCAAACCCAAATTCATGGTTATTGCACCTTTGTTGTACCGAAAATCGGGTCTGCTGGGACCTAGTGCTAGACACGGAAAGTGAGGAAAGGGGCCGTTCGACGGAAAGGAACTAAACGATTACCAAAGTTGCCAAGGTCAGATATACGACGAACTTTGTACAGAGCTTTCGGAGTCGGGAA